CATCATTTAGCAGACGCTCTTATCCAGAGCGACTTACAAAAAGTGATGTATATGTAATATGTAAGTTTATGTAATAAAATATATTATTAGTATATTGAACACAGCAGCCTGTGCACTTGCAGAAAAAACATTCCAAATGGTCAGTGGAGCGGTTCCTCTCATCACTGAGGTGGAACCCTCTAGAGTACATCTTCAGGACCTTGTCTGGACTCCAGGCTTTTTATTTTACTCTGTTTTAAAATATTTGCGAGAAATTTATTTAAGCTGCACAGTTGGGTCTTAAAACAGTCGTTCTACCTTTGACAGAATGTTTACATTATTTGTACCTGGATAAATGGAAAACGTACCTGCACAGAACCTTCTTTCTGACCGTGCGTCCTGCTTTCTCCCTTTGCTGCTCCTCTGTAGGGTTTCTCCAACATGAGTGTGGATAAGGTGTTTTCTGGAGGTGCTAATGTAACAGGGTTCCAGATAATAAACCCGGAGAACCCGATAGTGCAGCAGTTCCTGCAGCGCTGGGACCGTCTGGACGAGAGGGAGTTTCCTGAGGCTAAAAACGTGCCGCTGAAGGTCTCTGATCCTTTACCAGCTCGTTAAACTCTACAGTTACCGAATACGTTTTCAGCAGATTTCTGTTCTGTGTGGAAGACAGAAGAACACCAACATTGAAATAAATACAAACATTAAACATACAATAACCAGAGATCTGGAACCGAACTTTGTTCTTTAAATTAACCGAGTTATATTTTTAATTATGATTTTGGCTTCCAACAATTATAAAGACAAGATAATTGAAATAAAATGATTATTTTGCCGCATTTTGTTTCACAATGATGCTCTCTATGATATCTGTGTTAGAAATCCAGTGCCCCCCTTTCCTTTACAGTGCGCATATATATATATATATATAATTTATCAGCTTTTACATTTTTTGTTTGTTTTTCATTAAATTATATTTACAGTTAAAGAAAATCCAGTGTTAAAAAGACAAGTTTTTACAAGTTCAGTAAATGATGCTTCCAAAGTCAGTGAATAATCATAATCTCAATATTGATCACAATAATCGTGACTTTTATTGTATTTTGCTATAATCAAGCAGCTGTGAAGGATATATACTAAAAACATCTTCTTCTTTTTGTTACTGTGCATATTTGTGTTTATTTGAATGTTTCATGGTGTTTTTAATAACACATGATTCAGATAAGCAGTTTAAATAACGTGATTTTTGCTCAGTTCTGTATATCATTTCTTGACGAGTGTAGAAAGTATAAAGACTAACGTGTCTGTTTGTGTTCAGTACACGTCGGCGTTGACCCACGATGCCATCCTGGTGATTGCGGAGGCGTTCCGGTACCTGCGGCGTCAGCGGGTGGATATTTCTCGGAGAGGTAGCGCCGGAGACTGCCTGGCCAATCCGGCCGTGCCCTGGAGCCAAGGCATCGACATCGAGAGGGCCCTCAAAATGGTATGAGGCGACTCGGAGGGCTCGGCCGATATATCGTTCTACTGATAGTGAGATTCTGTCCGTAATAACCACACAGACACTGCAGTAACATCTCCTCAGATGAAGACTGTGAGCTCCTGCTGTGTGAGAACAGCTGTCAGTCACGCCGCAACATTTTAATAGATTTTGACCCAATAAATCAAATAAAAATGATATTATTGGTTTTAAATTTAACTTCTTAAAATCGCGATGACGTGTTCGTGTCGGTCGGGCTCAGGTCCTCAGAACGCCTCTCATTCTTCACGTTCGTCTGTGATCTTTCTACTGTTGTTTGTTAAACTCCTCAAATCCCAGTTTTATTCCACAGTAAATGCTTACTGGAGCTGGATTAGTTTAACCACAGGAGGTCAGTAATGTAATCTGGGTGTGATTAGACTGACCGACCCATACAGGATAAAGAAACTCTGTAATTTCACCAAATTACCCCAAACAGCTCAGATCGAAACATCATCATGTGGACAAAAAAATATGATCCATTATGGCCTTTCGGTTCCAGCAGAAGAGCTGAAGCTCTCCTCTACTGTCCACATTCAGCTGCTGAGGAATAACAGTAGATCCTCTCTGATTGGTCCTCTAGCGCCCCCTTCAGTACTGAGTGTTTTAACTGCCACAGTAATGTAAGAGCACGCGGTGAGTTTGTACAGGACCAAGATTTTGCAGTTCGCTGGCCGAGCGTTTGCAGTGCGCTGGCTGAGCGTTTGCAGTGCGCTGGCCGAGCGTTTGCAGTGCGCTGGCCGAGCGTTTGCAGTGCGCTGGCCGAGCACTGACATTTCGTTGCTGTACTTACGTTGAGTCTGTTTTTGCTTTATAGTTAATGTAAGATTAGCATTAGGCTAATAAAGTGGGTTCATTCAATTTCCAAAATGCAGCCAACGGGAAAGGAAACATACCAAAATGATTACAATCTCAGATCTCGTCAGTGGTCACTCAGATTACAGCCCCTCCCCAGATTAAACTAATCCAGTTCTAACAGGGCTCACACTGCAAAAAACGGTGTCTCAGCAAGTAAAATGATCTAATATTCCTCATGTTGAGATTATTGTGAGCTCATTATAAAATGACGTCATTTATTTCTCAACGTTTTACTTGTTTTCAGTAATTTTGTTAAGTAAAAAGTACAAATATCTTCCAATATTGGCAGATAATTGTGTTTATTTTAAGAAACGTTTGAAACAAAATTATTTGTCCATATAGTGAGAAAACGAGTACAAAACATCTAGAAATAAGTTATATAATTCTATCATGTGTGTATTATCAAATCAAAATGAGAAATATTAGATGTTTAGACTTTAAGATGAGATTTAAGATGATTTCTCTTGTTAAGATTTCATTTATTGTAGTTTAAAGCTTATTATTTGGTAACGTTGGACCCTCAGGAGCCCCGACGTTTATGGGGTTGAAGTTTCTCATATGAATTGTTTATTTTGTTTGTTTTATTGTCATGTAAGTAAACTGTTCTTTAAATGTGTCTGTCATCATCTGTCTCACAGTCGGGGAACCTCGCCATGTGATTGTTGTTGTTCTGCAGTGATTGTTTGTGTTGTTGCTGTTGTTGTTGTTATTTGCTGGGTGTTATCTGTGCTGTTGTCGTGTAGGTTCAGGTTCAGGGGATGACGGGCAACATTCAGTTCGACTCGTTCGGCCGACGCTCGAACTACACGGTCGACGTTTACGAGATGAAGCCTGGAGGAGCCAGAAAGGTCAGCAGGTCACGTCACATCACATAACATCACATCACCAAACCATCATTTCACTGAGAAACTAATACTACATTAGAAACAAACCATCATTACTGCTGTGAATTTTATGGGATGTGCCAATATTCATGTTTATATTCATATTTATTTATTTTATTTTTTAAACTTTCTATTTCACTGTGAAGAACTTTAAGTGCTCTTTAAATAATATTAAAGGCCTTATTACATTATTAAATCCATCATAATTATAGTTTCATGTATCACAATTATGTAATACATTACATATATACATACATTTACAGTTTTATTTATTCAAAAAACTTTAGAAATGTAGTTTACAGTTCCATTTTCTTTCTTATGTTTAGAATTTTTATTCTAAGTACCGTATTTTCTTTATTTTCTTTATTAACAAATGTATTTTTTATCAGAGCATTGCTAAAAACTACATTTCCCATACTGCACCACTCTACAGCTCTGTAATAGAATGAACCAGAATGTTTGCTAAACCTCCGGGTCAATAACTGGCATTCAGTCAGCGATGGACGCGGCTACTTTTAATAGTGATAAATACAGTAATAACTGTAAGATGTTGTTGTGTTTGAGGCTGAAATATAAACTAGATTTAATTAGATTTAGGTTTTTTTCTAGTTTTCCAGCTTTCAGAAGCGGAACAAAGTGCTAGCATAACATAGCGATTCTCATAGAGATGCTAGTAGAAATCAGCATCATCACATTTATAAAAGGCCATTTATAAAGTAAACAGTGCTGTGATGTGTGTAGCTGTTCATGATTAAATAACTAAAAATCAGATTGTTTTTATTAAGTTCACTGATTTTCTCATTTTTTAATATCTTGGTTAAATAATTCTCAGAACTGAAACTAAATCATGTCGCCGTTATCCACCCGGACGTTAGTCTCACGGGGCCAGACGTGATCTCCTAAATGAGAACACACACTTATTTAACTTTTGGTGACCGCAGCGCTAAGGACCCCTGTAAACCCCGCTCCAAATTTCTCTAGTCTTCACTCTTTAACTTCAATCGGTAACAAGCTGGCTGGGTCATTTCAGCCATGGATCTCCTGAAATTCTTAAAACTTACACTTCATATTTTTTTGCAAATTTGTATCCAACTTAGTGGAGAAGCTCGTCCACGGCGGAGCTCCAGGCAGCCAGAGAAATGTAGAGCACCGTAACTCGGCGATGATAAAAGTAACCAACTTCAAACTGGACAGGATTACAGGGCGTTAGTGATCCTCTCCAACCACACAGGACTTTACTGTAGCGTTCAGGATCTTTCCAATGAGCCCTGGACTGCATTGCTGACCTTCAGGGAACCAGAGATACTGACCGCAGAATCTCCAGCCTCCTCACCTGCCGTCCCCTCTGAGGCGGCCATGTTGTTAGTGTGATAATCACGTGACGTTGATCTTAAAGCTCCATCGCTGAGCAGTACAGTCGACTAGTCTGTGCTGCCTGTAGCCCAGGCTAACGGCAGGCTTGTTGTCTGCTGGACGATGACGAGCGAACCAGCGCCCCCTACTGTGAGCTCTGCCTAGTTAGACTACGCTCCCCCCGATTTCTCATGGCGGTCGTTTCGAGATCACGGCTGGCCCTGCGACTGTCCTGCTGCCCTGTTTGCTGTCCGGCTGTTCTCGTGCTCTTCTGACTGTCTGCTGTCTGTGTGTTGCAGATTGGGTACTGGAACGAATATGAGAAATTTGTTTATATAGTGGAGCTGCAGGTTACCAACGAATCCTCTTCTGTGGAAAACCGAACAATTGTGGTCACTACTATTATGGTACACTTTCCGAAGCTGCTTTTGAGAACGAAACGTCCCTACTGTGAATCCTTCTGCCTCTCCAGGCGGAGCGCGAGCGTTACGTTCTGTCCTGGGGGGGCAGAACCGTTTTCTTCTTTCATTTTGCTTTCCACCCACTCACTACATGTTGAAACAGTCGATCACTTGTGAGTGTTTCAACTGTGTCCGTGTGGGCGTCAAAGCATCGTCACTCCCTGCCACGGTGGCCTGTTGTAGCAGTGACATCACAATACCGGCTTTGGTAATGAAACAGGCTAGGCTTCCTCCCTCTCTCTCCCTCTCTCTCCCTCTCTCTTTCTCTCTCTCTCTCTCTCTCTCCCTCTCTCTCTCGCTCATACCATACGTAAGTACGCGCCTGCGCTGCTGCGACGGGAGACGAGCCGCAAACGGCACAACACGACACATCAAACAGAAACACGAACAGTCAGCTTTTCTCACTTGTGACACAAAATACGGAGCGTTCGAAATGTGCAGGGGGGCGGACACAAGCCCCGCCCACTTTCAGGTCTCTACTCTGTGTCACTGCTGATCTGTGCTGAAGCGCTTCCAGCCGTCCAATCAGGAGCCGCCAGCGTCAACCATTTGGAGGGACCAACGTGATAGAGTAGCAAGAGTGAATTAAATGGGTTAAATAAACGGCTTATTTGTTCAAATATATCATATATAAAAATTACATGAAACACTTTTTAGACACTTTGCATGACAGTAAATGTACTTTTAAGTTATGTATAATGAAATAAGCATTATTTCTATTTATATACTTACTATGCACTTTATTAGCCACACCTACCCATCATGCGATTATCTAATCAGCCAATCATGCAGCAGCAGTGCAGAGCAGACTGGAGCAGAGCTCCACTCTGGAGTGAAGAGGTCGAGGAAGGAAACTGGGATAAAGTTAATTAAACAGTAGATAAACTTAATTAACGAAGCTGCACTGTTAATTACGTGAGGAGGAGCTAAAGCTAACACTAGCGAGGAGGAGAGCCGGATTCAGGGGGAGGCGGAGCTTCAAACAAGTCAAGACAGTTTTAAAATCAATGTTTGATGAATTATTTCTACTCATTAGAGAAGATGTGAACATTTCAGCTCCAGACAGAAGAACCTTAAAGAGAAAGCCAACGAATGGATTTCACTGTTTGGTTGGAAGTTTAGTTTGTAAACAGAGATTTACGAGACTAGGTTTAGCGCTTAAATCTGACGTTTGCTAGGCTAGTTTAGGGTGTAGATCTGATGTTTGCTAGGCTAGTTTAGGGTGTAGATCTGATGTTTGCTAGGCTAGTTTAGTGCTTAGATTGCATGTTCATTAATGTGGTTTGGTGTGTGAGTTGATTTGCTAGTTGCTAGGCTAGTTTAGGGTGTAGATCTGATGTTCACTAGGCTAGTTTAGGGTGTAGATCTGACGTTTCCTAGGCTAGTTTAGGGTGTAGATCTGACGTTTCCTAGGCTAGTTTAGGGTGTAGATCTGATGTTTGCTAGCCTAGTTTAGGGCGTAGATCTGATGTTTGCTAGGCTAGTTTAGGGCGTAGATCTGATGTTTGCTAGGCTAGTTTAGTGTATAGATCTGACGTTTGCTAGTCTAGTTTAGGGTGTAGATCTGACGTTTGCTAGGCTAGTTTAGGGTGTAGATCTGATGTTTGCTAGGCTAGTTTAGGGTGTAGATCTGACGTTTCCTAGGCTAGTTTAGGGTGTAGATCTGATGTTTGCTAGGCTAGTTTAGTGCATAGATCTGATGTTTGCTAGGCTAGTTTAGGGTGTAGATCTGATGTTTGCTAGGCTAGTTTAGGGTGTAGATCTGACATTTGCTAGGCTAGTTTAGGGTGTAGATCTGACGTTTGCTAGGCTAGTTTAGGGTGTAGATCTGACGTTTGCTAGGCTAGTTTAGGGTGTAGATCTGACGTTTGCTAGGCTAGTTTAGGGTGTAGATCTGACGTTTGCTAGGCTAGTTTAGGGTGTAGATCTGATGTTTGCTAGGCTAGTTTAGGGCGTAGATCTGATGTTTGCTAGGCTAGTTTAGGGCGTAGATCTGATGTTTGCTAGGCTAGTTTAGGGGCGTAGATCTGATGTTTGCTAGGCTAGTTTAGGGTGTAGATCTGATGTTTGCTAGGCTAGTTTAGGGTGTAGATCTGACGTTTGCTAGGCTAGTTTAGGGTGTAGATCTGATGTTTGCTAGGCTAGTTTAGGGCATAGATCTGATGTTCGCTAGGCTAGTTTAGTGCGTAGATCTGATGTTTGCTAGGCTAGTTTAGGGTGTAGATCTGATGTTTGCTAGGCTAGTTTAGTGCTTAGATTGCATGTTCATTAATGTGGTTTGGTGTGTGAGTTGATTGCTAGTTGCTAGGCTAGTTTAGGGTGTAGATCTGATGTTTCACTAGGCTAGTTTAGGGTGTAGATCTGACGTTTCCTAGGCTAGTTTAGGGTGTAGATCTGACGTTTCCTAGGCTAGTTTAGGGTGTAGATCTGATGTTTGCTAGCCTAGTTTAGGGCATAGATCTGATGTTTGCTAGGCTAGTTTAGGACGTAGATCTGACGTTTGCTAGGCTAGTTTAGGGCATAGATCTGATGTTTGCTAGTCTAGTTTAGTGTGTAGATCTGACGTTTGCTAGGCTAGTTTAGGGTGTAGATCTGACGTTTGCTAGGCTAGTTTAGTGCGTAGATCTGATGTTTGCTAGGCTAGTTTAGTGCATAGATCTGATGTTTGCTAGGCTAGTTTAGGGTGTAGATCTGACGTTTGCTAGGCTAGTTTAGGGTGTAGATCTGACGTTTGCTAGGCTAGTTTAGTGCATAGATCTGATGTTTGCTAGGCTAGTTTAGGGTGTAGATCTGACGTTTGCTAGGCTAGTTTACGGCGTAGATCTGATGTTTGCTAGGCTAGTTTAGGGTGTAGATCTGATGTTTGCTAGGCTAGTTTAGGGTGTAGATCTGACGTTTGGTAGGCTAGTTTAGGGTGTAGATCTGACGTTTGCTAGGCTAGTTTAGGGCGTAGATCTAACGTTTGGTAGGCTAGTTTAGGGCGTAGATCTGACGTTTGGTAGGCTAGTTTAGGGCGTACATCTGACGTTTGCTAGGCTAGTTTAGGGTGTAGATCTGACGTTTCCTAGGCTAGTTTAGGGTGTAGATCTGACGTTTGCTAGGCTAGTTTAGGGCGTAGATCTGATGTTTGCTAGGCTAGTTTAGGGTGTAAATCTGACGTTTGCTAGGCTAGTTTAGGGTGTAGATCTGATGTTTGCTAGGCTAGTTTAGTGCATAGATCTGATGTTTGCTAGGCTAGTTTAGGGTGTAGATCTGATGTTTGCTAGGCTAGTTTAGGGCGTAGATCTGATGTTTGCTAGGCTAGTTTAGGGTGTAGATCTGATGTTTGCTAGGCTAGTTTAGGGCGTAGATCTGATGTTTGCTAGGCTAGTTTAGGGCATAGATCTGACGTTTGCTAGGCTAGTTTAGGGTGTAGATCTGACGTTTGCTAGGCTAGTTTAGGGTGTAGATCTGATGTTCGCTAGGCTAGTTTAGTGCATAGATCTGATGTTTGCTAGGCTAGTTTAGGGCGTAGATCTGACGTTTCCTAGGCTAGTTTAGGGCGTAGATCTGACGTTTGCTAGGCTAGTTTAGGGTGTAGATCTGACGTTTCCTAGGCTAGTTTAGGGTGTAGATCTGATGTTTGCTAGGCTAGTTTAGGGCTTAAATCTGACGTTTGGTAGGCTAGTTTAGGGCGTAGATCTGATGTTTGCCAGGCTAGTTTAGGGCGTAGATCTGATGTTTGCTAGTCTAGTTTAGTGTGTAGATCTGACGTTTGCTAGGCTAGTTTAGGGTGTAGATCTGACGTTTGCTAGGCTAGTTTAGGGCGCAGATCTGATGTTCGCTAGGCTAGTTTAGGGTGTAGATCTGATGTTTGCTAGTTTAGTTTAGTGTGTAGATCTGACGTTTGCTAGGCTAGTTTAGGGTGTAGATCTGACGTTTGCTAGGCTAGTTTAGTGCGTAGATCTGATGTTTGCTAGGCTAGTTTAGGGTGTAGATCTGATGTTTGCTAGGCTAGTTTAGGGCGTAGATCTGATGTTTGCTAGGCTAGTTTAAGGTGTAGATCTGACGTTTGCTAGGCTAGTTTAGGGCGTAGATCTGATGTTTGCTAGGCTAGTTTAGGGCGTAGATCTGATGTTTGCTAGGCTAGTTTAGGGTGTAGATCTGATGTTCGCTAGGCTAGTTTAGGGTGTAGATCTGATGTTCGCTAGGCTAGTTTAATGCATAGATCTGATGTTTGCTAGGCTAGTTTAGGGCATAGATCTGATGTTTGCTAGGCTAGTTTAGGGCATAGATCTGATGTTTGCTAGGCTAGTTTAGGGCATAGATCTGACGTTTGCTAGGCTAGTTTAGGGCGTAGATCTGACGTTTGCTAGGCTAGTTTAGGGCCGAGATTTGATGTTCGCTAGGCTAGTTTAGTGCTTAGATCTGACGTTTGCTAGGCTAGTTTAGGGCGTAGATTTGCTGTTTGCTAGGCTAGTTTAGGGCCAAGATCTGATGTTCGCTAGGCTAGTTTAGGGTGTAGATCTGACGTTTGCTAGGCTAGTTTAGGGCGTAGATCTGATGTTTGCTAGGCTAGTTTAGGGCGTAGATCTGATGTTTGCTAGTCTAGTTTAGTGTGTAGATCTGACGTTTGCTAGGCTAGTTTAGGGTGTAGATCTGACGTTTGCTAGGCTAGTTTAGTGCGTAGATCTGACGTTTGCTAGGCTAGTTTAGGGTGTAGATCTGATGTTTGCTAGGCTAGTTTAGGGCGTAGATCTGATGTTTGCTAGGCTAGTTTAAGGTGTAGATCTGATGTTTGCTAGGCTAGTTTAGGGTGTAGATCTGATGTTTGCTAGTCTAGTTTAGTGCGTAGATCTGACGTTTGCTAGGCTAGTTTAGGGTGTAGATCTGACGTTTGCTAGGCTAGTTTAGGGTGTAGATCTGACGTTTGCTAGGCTAGTTTAGGGTGTAGATCTGACGTTTGC